TATTTATTGTGTGGCCAGCTCAGCCCACCAGGGGGCGGGTGGGCCGGCATGTGGTGCTGGGGGATTGAACCGAGGTCTCCATGCTTTGCTTGAGCTTAGCTTGTTCTAAGTAGGTGCTTTAGACCACTGAGCCATCTCACCAGCCCCCTTGGCTATGTTCTTACCCACACATCAATTATCAAACCTCCTGAAAACAGCTTAGGTATCTTAGAATGGGAGTCACTCCGGGTGCTCACTCCCAGGATGATGCTGCCAGTACTGGCTTTTGCTGTTTGCCCAGGCCACCTGCCTCCCCTGGCCCCCGTCTTCCTCTTGGGCCACATGACAGAATGGGCTATGCACACTCTCCCCTCTGGCCCAACTCCCCAGACTGCAGGGACAGCACAGGCCCTGGAACAATCCTCCCCAGGTCTCCAGGCTCTCAGAGGAGAGGGAACACGGGCACAGAGGGGACAAATTCAAGAGCAGAGGGAGAGCTGAGGCTCCTGGTGGCTTCCACAGTGCGTTCCCACTTTTGTCCTTCATGGCATACACAGAAAAATCTATCTACAGGCAGCTGGGCTGGGGGCTCTGGGCAGCCAACACCCCCACCCCCGTGCTCCTGCCTGGGCACACCAGGTGGGACACTGCCGGTCAGAACAGCCACAGGGGCTTATGACTGCTACTGCCAAAAGGAGCTTTCCCTCAAGGCCAGCATTCTCATGAAGCAGCCATTTCTTGTTTAAAGGATTTTTGGTTTTTGTTTAAAGGATTTTTATAACTCTAATTATGCATGGTACACTGGTTGTAGTATTTAGGGTTATTTTTTATTGCAAGGGTATAGCATTAAGTTACTAGGAATTAAAGAGTTTAGAAGGCTAGCTGGCCTGAAAACCAAAGAATGACTTCTAGCTTTATTTAATTTAATTTAATTTATTTATTTTTTGCGGAACCGGGGATTGAACTCAGACCCTTGCGCTTGCCCAGGAAGCGCTTACTCTACTGAGCCATCTCCCCAGCCCCTAGCTTTATTCTAGATGGCACCATATTTAGTTTTATTTTGGACCATGTGCTGTGGAGATCAAACAGTTAACCTCAGAACTTTGGAATCCAACATATTTACAAGTTGGCTTTTGATACATGACCTCTCTGGAATTATTCTGCCTTGCTTTGTCCCTCTATGTCTGTCTGTCTGTCTGATCGTCTATCTTCCATCTATCCATCTTTTTTTTTTTTTTTTTTTTTTGCGGAACAGGGGATTGAACTCAGATCTTTGCGTTTGCCAGTCAAGCGCTTATCCTACTGAGCCATCTCCCCGGCCTCTATCTATCCATCTTTTATCTCTTCGATCACATAGCAGATTATTCTAGGCTGGGACGCCCTACTCTGCTTCTTCACAAGTCCAGCACTACACTTGGTGATTTGTACCACATCCTCTCATTTTACCTGTATAACAAGGAAGTACGAATTGTAACTGTTCCGATTTAGGGACAAACAACCAATATTTAGAGAAGTTTGGTGACCTGCCAGGGCCACACAGAAGGTAAGTGGCACAGCCAGAATTTTGAGAGGCATCAGCGACTCCAGAGCTGCCAGGAGACACTGGGGTGGGAGGCAGGGATCGGAGTCCATTGAGTGTCAGGTACTGGTGCCACAGAGGCTGTGCAGCTGGGACAACTTGGTCACAAGTTTGGGGCCTAGAATCAGGACTCAGACCAGCACAGACAGCTGTGAAGTAAGACTGACAGGAGGTGTTGGGGGAAAGGAGGGCCAGAGGTGAGAAAGAAGGGTAAGCAAGAGGAAGATGTGGCCCAGAAACCTGCCCTTGGGCCTCTCTCACAGCAGAGGCATCTCTTCAGCCCACTTTCCTCACTCATAAAACAGTAACTTTAAAATAATATCTACTCAAGCTAGCCAAAAGGATTATTGTGCAGCTCAGACAGGACCACACCAGCTGGCATGGTGATACCTGTCATCCCAGCACTCTGGGAGGCTGAGACAGGAGGATCACAAGTCTGAGCCTAGCCACTTAGAGATCCTATCTCAGAATAAAACATATAAAGGGCTGGTGATGTAGCTTAGTGTGAATGTCCTGGGTTCCATCCCCAGTGCTGCATTTATTTGACAATTAATTTAAAATGACATCCTGCCACTAGTCAGAGGGTGCTGGAGGGCAGATTAAGTACACCTGTATAGCTCTAGGGACCAGTGGAGGTTGGTGCACCACAGAGCCTGGCATAGCCACTGCTGCCCAGACTGACATTTGAGTTCCAGGCTTTAAACCTGGATATCTACAAAGATAATAGTAGGTGCTCAAGAAATAGGGGGTGCTAGGTCTTCTTAATGAAGCCAGCCCCAACAGCTCTTGTCACAGGTCACTTCCAAAATTTTCCAGGAGGGGGCAGCAGAGAGCCATCCTGGCCAAGAACAGCCAAGTCCAGGAAAGCATGCTTGAGGCAGGCATGCACTGTCCCTCAGCTAGCCATCCAGTGCGTCCTCCAGCTGGACCTCGCTGCACACTTTTCTCCTTGGCTTTACCAGACAAAATCTCCAGAGCTTTGTCCTGGGTAGTTCACCCAAGTTGGGAGTCCCTGGTAGACAGCTCCTGGGATAGGAGCATCAGGTGGGGGGCAGTAGTGTAGGTGTGGCCTTGTGCTTGGGGTGCTTCCTGGAAGGTCCATCATCCTTAGTCTAGATTGCCCTGCCCATCTGCAGTATGTCTCAATGGAGTAAGACACTGAACTGGGGAATTACACGCTTGGTTCTCCCATTGGATGAGAGCTTCAAGAAGGCTGTGGCTTCTTGCCGTCTCCTCTTTGAAATACTGTGTCTTACAACTCAGTGAACCTGCCTCTCCTTCACTGGGAGGCAGCAGCTGGGAGCCCCGAGGGCAGTGACCACAGCCTAACTGCCTCTGAGAGTCTGTAGCCCACCCATAGGCTGCCATAGGAATCTGGTCCTTTCAGGTTTGAGTGCTCAGTGGACATGTTGTGACCCTGGTTTCTATGGAGGCACATACCCCTCACTTGGTTCTCCATCACATGTCCAAGAAGCCTCCATCCCTCACCTTGGCATGGAAGCCTATGCCATATGACGCCTGATAGTCCTGGTCTCATTAGTGTCCCATCTGTCCCCAATCCCGGCTTCACTTTGCTTCCTCCTGGCCTCTGCTCCCCTGCTTATGTCTTTCCCAACCTGTTATTGCCTTCTTTCCCTTTCATGGATATCCCTGCCCAAGGTCTAACCCCTGCCCTGCTGGTGTCCACCATGGCCCGCGCATGTCTGTACTAAGGCACCTACCTACCCCTAATAGATTAGCTGCCTGTCTCCACACTGGACTGTGAACTCCTCAGGGCAGGGACCTGAACAGCACACCAGCATGGGTTGCAAGCTGTGGTGGAGCAGCTGCTGTGGTTTATAGAATGCATGAAGGAGGCCTTCTCCCTTCCCCCACGGCACTGGGCCAGGGGCTCCCAATAGGACTCCTGCTGTGTCCTCTATCCACTTACTGGGGCAAGGGGTTCCGGAGCACCTCCAGCAGCAGCTGCTGTTCAGCTGGCCCTGAGACATCAGTCTGTCACTGCTGAACATAATGTGCCAATCTGTCTTGGTCATGGTACCCCAGTTTAGTGAACTTCCATGGGTTCTTTGGCTCTGAAGCATTAAGTCTAAACCTAATTCTTTCACATTCTCTATGAAGGCAGTGACCACTAAGGCCACCTCAAGGCCCAGAAGATTCCCCTAAATCTGTTATACTCAGCGGTCAAGTAGGCTCCCTCAGCATGAAGCCCAGCCTTTGCTCGTCTGGGACCCAGGGCCTTTGCACGTGCCTTCTCACCAGCATGCACCCTTCATTCTGACCCTCCTCTGAAGACTTGCCAGGTTTCTGGAGCCTTCCCTCACTGCTACTCAGTTAAGATTCTCCAACCTCCTATCTTCCAGGTGCTCCTATGTCACCTGATTCTTTTTTTTTTTTTTTTGGCAGAACTGGGGATTGAACTCAGGCCCTTGTGCTTGCCAGGGAAGCGCTTATTCTACTGAGCCATCTCCCTGGCTCCTCTGATTCTTTATCTACCTCTGGCGCCCAACCTAGCTGGCACCTGTGGCCTGATGGGGAGAAGGAAAACTGAGGGTTAGCAGCAGGCTCCCCTAGCATGGGTCCATCTGGGGCCTCACCTCCAGTACTCCTCGCTGGGGCTGGTCCTCTTCAGGGTGTGGTTGAGCAGGTGGGAGAGGTTGCCAGACAAGGCATTAGGCTGGGAGCCATTGGTAAGGTTGGAGGCATCCAGCACCCCAACGCAGTCGGGCGTGTTCCAGGGGTTATTGCAGTAGGCCCAGGGCAGCACAGGCGTCATGGATGAGAAGAAGTAGTAGAAGGCGATGGAGATGACCACGTTGTAATAGATGCCAATATACGTGGACACCACCATCATGCCATAGCCCACACCTGGGGAGTAGAAGGAAGGGGCAGCTGTCAGCTGCTGGGCGAGAGCTTCACACATCTGGTGGAAGGAGGCAAGGTTAACAATATCTAAGGCCCAAGGGGTAGGCTTTGATGGAAGGCCATACTGGGGATAGGTCAAGGCCTTGACAGGCAAGTGCAGGCCAAAGGAGTTTTGTGTACACACCTGGCAGGAAGGGAGGGTGGAGGCCAAGTAAACATGGATCCCGGCATGGGTCCATGGCCTTGGCTATTGATGTGGGGCTTAGGGTCAGCACCCAGGCCCCAGAGGGGATGACAGTGTTTGTACAGATGGGTAGGTCAGCGTGGCCTCTAGAGGTCACGTGCATGCGTGTGAGCGTGCATCTGTATGCAGGCATGTGTGCACGGGTGCTCCTCTTAGGCCTCACCTTTGAACATGGGACTGATCTTCCAGACCCCCAGGCAGCCCTGGCTTGCAAACTGGCCGAAGGAGAGCTCCATGAAGAAGAGTGGGATCCCGCAGAAGATTAGCATGATGAAGTAGGGGAACATGAAGGCTCCTGGTGGAGGAAGGGGCAGAGCTCAGAACGGGCATGGGGAACCTGCCCTGGGCTCCTGCTCAGAATCCAAGGGCAACGCTTCTGTGATGGGGTTGGGCTAGAATGGGGCTGTGCCAGCGCTGAGCAGAGCCTGGGCCTGAAGCAGGCCTTCATCTGTCTTTGAACTTGACAGCATTCCTCAGAAAGTCTGCTCTGCACCAAATCCAGCCCCAGAGCTATCATGTGAGGGCAAGACTGGATGATTTAGTTGATTGATATCACCAACATAAGTCACTGGGATCATTAAATATCACCGAACCATTTTGGTGAGAGGCAGTTAAAACATGGGGAGATAACATGGGGGAATGCTGGGAAGCTGGGTCCTTTCTCCTTTTCTCCTTACACTGAGGAAGCAGGCCGGCAGGGGCAGGCCCAAACAGCAGGCTGCCAGGATGGGAGGGACGTTGGTCTGCACCATAGGCAGAGGTGCCGATGCCAGTGATGGGGGTGAGGAAGACCAGGGCCAAAGGCCAGCCTCCATCTGCAACAGGGTCTGTGCCAGGGAAAGGGTAGCCAGGGCCCTGATGGGTGGGCTCTACTCAACTGGGTGGTCCCTGCCCTGTGCCCGCTGGGTACCTCCCCCGTTGCGATAGCAGAGGTATGGAAAGCGCCAGACATTGCCCAGGCCTACGGCATAGCCCACGCTCGTCAGTACAAACTCGATCTGGTTGCCCCAGTTGCCCCGTGTGAGTTTCTGGTCCCTCTTGGTGGCCTCGCTGGGCACAGCACCATTCTGTAGGGACAGGAGAGAAGCTACCATCAGAAAGGCATTAGTGTTCAGTGTCTGACCCTCTGAGCCTCCCCAGCAGGGATACCATGGACCCTCCAAGCCCCATCCTAGGGCTTGCCCTCTGCTGGCAGGAGCTGCAGACAGGCCTGACAGAAAAGGGAAGAAGGGAAGAGCAGCTGCCAGTGGGTACCAAGCAGAACCTCCTGAACTGGTCCCCAGCATGCTGTGCCAGGTGCACCAGCCCACCTGAGGAGCTGCTGTCAACATCTGGGGGGGGGGGACACTGACAAGGGAGCTAGAGTGGAAAGCCCCCAGTTCCTCTAAAATCTCCCCTCTCCCCTCAGGGTAAGGATCTGGGAGCATCTGAGGCTCATACCAAGCAGCCAAGTCAGGCTGGACACAAAGGGGCCTGTGTCCAGACACCCCCCCCACCCGCTGCCTACCACATCGCCAGGCTGAGCACGCTGCCCATGGGCAAGCAGTGGCTAGACCCTTCCTCCAGCTGAAGGCTTCTTCCTGGGGCACAGGGTGGGCAGCACTGGGGGGACGGGGTGGGTGAGCAGCTGAGCTGGGCCAGACCTGGGGAGGGCATTGTGGGACTCAGGAGGAAAGCCCAGTGAAGCCTCTGTATTGCCCATGACTGGAGAGGGGTCTTGGGGAAGCAGACTTGGGGTGCTGGGCCAGGAGTTGATGGAGGAGGCCAGAGCCATAGGCACCATGCTAGACTTTGAGGACAAACCCTGCTGGGGAAACAGAGGGAATAGTTCCAGAGAAGGATGGCAGAGAGAAGGGTCCTTGAACTGTGAGAGGGATCAAGATGCCTACAGAAGGCAGAGTCTAAAGGTCAAAGGTGAAGGTCACAGGAACCTCACTGAGGACAGGCTGATATGGAGCTCCAACCTCACAGTTTGACCTGGCTCCACAGTCCCTTAATAAGTATGAATGTACCCTTTCCTGGGGCCACACTTCTCATGCCCCTCCACAGTGAACAGGAAACAAAAGACCCTAAACCAGAGCCTGAGGGACCCAGGAATTTTACTAAGGAGATGTGGGGAAACTGAGGGCCACCAGCAGAGAACACGTGAGTGCCAGAAACAGCCTCCCAGGGATGGGCTGGGCTGTGCTCTAAGAGTAAAGGGACATAAAAAAATTTAAAAAAAAAAAGGGGGGGGCTGGTGAGATGAGTCAGTGGTCTAAAGCACCTACTTAGAACAAGCTTAGCAAAAAAAAAAAAAAAAAGAACAAGCTAGGCAAAGCACAGGGACCACGGTTCAATCCCCCAGCACCACATGCCAGCCAGCCCCGCCCCCTGGTGGGCTGAGCTGGCCGCACGCACGCACGCACACACACACACACACACACACACACACACACATAAATAAATAAAATTTAAAAGAAAAAGAGTAAAATGACAGGAGGCCCAGGACACTGGAGCAGGGATACAGAGGCATAGCCTCTGACAAGAGTACACCCTCGGACACCTCCAAGGACAGCAACTGCCCCATCAACACCAATAAGGAAGTGGGGGGGGGGGAGCGTCTGTTGCCAGACTCTGATCCTGACAGGACTGGCCTCCAGCACCTTCTGGAAAGGTCCATTTGGGAATGGACCCTCAATGTATGGCAGATTGGGTGCTACAGCACAGACACCTTTTTTGGGTCCATCCTGTGTACCCGATTCAGCACTTACCTGGCAGACCAGCTACCATGTCTGCACAGCACCCAGAGCAACCCAGCAGGCTGCAGATGTCTGCAAACATGCATTTATTCATTCAAAATTCATTCATGTGGGACCGGCGAGATAGCTCAGCAGACTAAGTGCCTACTTTGGCAAGCTCAGGGACCAGGGTTCAATCCCTGCCCCAGCTCGTGTTGTTGCCCCCCCCTCCCCCGTGCACTGAGTGGGTCAGAGTTCAGGCATGGTGGTGCATGCCTGTAATCCTAGCACTGGGGAAGCTGAAAACACTGTGAAAACACAAGCTGCATAGTGAGACCCTGTATCAAACACATAAACGAAAGAGAAAAAATTCATTCATGCAGTGTCAGAGATTTACAGATGTACCAAGCAGTAGCAATTCAGCCAACAACAAAGCAGAGTCCCTAGCCAATAGGAGCTAGAAGTTTGGTGGCAGAGAAGCCATGATAAAGAAAACACTAGCTGGGTGTGGTGGTGCATGCCTATTATCCCAGCACTTGGGAGGCTGAGGCAGGAAGATCATACAAGATCAAGGCCAGCCTGGGCTGCATAGTGAGTTCAAAGCCAGCCAGAGCTGCATAGAAAGACCCTGTCTCAAAAGGACAAAAAATAAAACACAAATAATTTCATATGTACACAAAAGGGATTTTCTCAAGGTCACAGAGTATGGATGAGCACAAAGAGTAAGTGCAGGACAAGGTGAAGGCCTCTCTGGTGAAGAGTCACCTGGCTCTGAGAGGCTTCTGTGACATGCATGCCACTGCAGACTCTGGCCTAGCATGCTGCCATCCCCAGGACCTTCCTTGGGCTGGACGTAGCAATGCCACAGGGCCAAGGACTATTTTCCAAAGTGTGTGAGGCCTGCTTGGGGTGGTTTATCGCCACATAGCATTCCTATATGTTGGCCCTACAATAACACTTCTATTCGGCCCCTGGCTTGTTTACTTAGGGGCACAATGCTGGATTGTAGCAGCTCTAGAGTCCATGGGTGGGGTTACAGGGCAGTGGTTACAGCTGTAAAAGGGACAACAGAAGGCCTACGATGGCTCCATGGTCAGAGTGAGGACGAGGCTCCTGGAAGAAGCCCAGCTACCCACAGCTTAATATGCAAGGCCTCTCTCCTTGCTCAGCTGCAAGAGGGACAGTCCTCAGGCCCACCAAACAAGTACAGAAGGACCAGACTTAGATCTTTGAGGTTCACTCTTCCTGGCATGGAGGGTAGCAGAGGATGGTGGTTCCCAAGCCATGTGCCACAGGCAGTCGCCTGTCTGAATCCTCCAGGGCCAGCCTCTGTCCTGCTAATAAGCAGCACACCACTGAGCTGTGTGCTGAGTGGTCCTGCTGCCTGGTGTTAGGCAGAAGGTGGACACCCCAGGGCAAGGGCTGGTGGGCAGGTGACTGGGCTGCCATGGGCTTAGTGACCAGGCTCTGGCAGGACATTCCAGAGGTCAGCTGAGTGCAGAGGAGCCCTGCAGGAGCCACCTCCGGCTTCTATCAGATACTAAATCTTTGCACTGAGCTTCCCTGGCTGTGGGCACCTTGCTCTGCCTTCCATGTTGGTGAGACCTACATTCAGGCTGCTTGACTGGTGGTCTAAGCTCTCAGTGGAGGACAGAGTAAGCCCATCTTTCTCCCAGCAAACCAGAGAAGAATCACTAAAGGCTTCTTTCTGCAGAGCTGTCTGGGTAGGGTTTTGTTTTTGTTTTTGTTTTTAAAGACAGAGTCTTGCTGTGTAATTCAGGTTAGCCTCAAATACATGGCAATCCTCTTGCCTCAGCCTCCTGAGTGCTGGAATTACAGGAGTGTGCCACCATGCCTGACTTGGTGCGCTTATTACCTTCCTTGTCTAGCTCTCCTCTGGGGATTCTAGCTCACTCCCTGGGTAACTAAGCCTTCTTCAATGCTGCATAGCTTTTTACCCTCCGTGTACCTCCTTTCCTACACTAGCATTCATTCTGCCTGATCTGTTGGGTAAACAGCTGTGTCACTGATATTAACTATCTCTGCAATGGGCATTGGCTTTAAAAGGCCCACAAAAGAAGTCCCTTGTGCCAAGCTCAAGGCCCCTCCTGTCTACTGTGTCACCCTGTCTGTCCTTCTCTGTTTTCTGTCACCCACCTGCTCATACTTTGACGGAAATGAAACCATTATGGCCGACTCTCCCTGGGTTGACCTCCTCTTCCTCTGGGTGCTCTGATTCTCTTGTCTGTGCCCCTTCTTGACTGTTCTGAGAAGGCATAGCTGGCACAAAGCAGCCCCCACTCAGAACTACCATGGGCCTGGTTGGTGGGATGGCTCTGCCCTGTACTCAAGCTCTCCCAGGCTGGGCAGCACAGAGGCTGTGGAGCTCCCCTTCCACAGTTGAAGGCAGTCCCCCTCTTCCACATTCCTTGACCCTCAGAACCAGCCATGGAGGCCTCAGCATCTACCCCTGCACCAGGACTATGCTCTTTCTTGGGTTAACTAGCACTCCCTCCCTGCCCCCCCTCCCCGGTCCCTTTTCAGCTGGCTGAACCACATTGAGCAGAGTCACTTACATAATTCCTTTACATAGCCCTCTGTCGGGCTTATTTGCTGCCCTGGATGAGCTCCTGGAATTAACACTGCTCAGCTTGAAATGCAGAATCTGAATCTCCCATTGCCCTGCCCTGGGCTTGGCAGAGGTGGGAGAGTCAGTGCAGAGGTTTTTGAGCCCAGACGTCCCAGAGCCTGCTCCTCTAGCAGCCTGGGGTGAATCACTGCCTGTGGGCACCCTGGCATCACCAGCTAGAAAACCAGGGCACAGATGAGGTACCCACCACTGGCCTGGCAGACTCAAAGGCCCTCCATGCCTCCCAGCATCTTGCAGCTCCACATCGCCTGCAATTCCCTATTTCAGAATTTCCCGTGTTTCCTGTTAGTTCCCACTAGCTTTCTAGATTATTTTTTAAAAATTACTTTTTTTCTAATTATAAAAGTATAACTACGGGGCCGGGGAGATGGATAAGCTTATCCAGTAGGATAAGCGCTTGACTGGCAAACGGAAGGATCTGAGTTCAATCCCCGGTTCCACCAAAAAAAAAAAAAAAAAAAAAAGTATAATTTGCTAATCACAAAAAAGATTTTGGGAAGTCCAGAAAAACATATAGAGGGCTACATGACTAGGCCCAGGAGCAATGGCAAACAGCGTGAGGAGGGCCTCCCTCTTCTCTCCATATAGGGATGCAGAGCCACAGCCTTTTACCCTGGACTGTGGACTCCTGCCCTTCTAGGTTAGCATACTGAGGATATTTTTGTGAATTGCAAACTCCTTCTGCTCTCAGCAAACA